TAGCAATGATCGTTTCAGAACTGAGGTCAGCCTATGTCGCACAGGATGATAATGATGATGATGATGCTGCCTGTCCCCAATAGGCAATCTAAAACGTGGCGTTGACTGCAGTTCCAAGCTCGCCTTGATTGCATCAACATTCCAAACGGCGAATAGTGCAGTGTCCATCTTCGACATGTCACAACTACGTCAGGCTGTCGCGAACGCCATTCAACCACAGGTCACATGTGACTTTCAGGAGAAGCCATGACTTTGCCAAATCCCACTTCATGCTGGTAGCGTGGATGAGGAAAACCTCTATTTTTCCATTACAGTCGACCACTACTTATATGCATAGTGAGTAAGTCTCGATATTACCAGCAGACCTTGGATTAGAGCTATGTTTACTCGTGATCCTTTATCCCTTTAGGTGAACTAGTGTGAATACTTGTAGTATCGAATCCCACTCAGTGTGAATGCATAGCGAGGCTAGCCTCCAGAAGGCCAGAAGGGTGGGCTGATCGACGTACAAATAGACGTGACCGGCCACATGTTCGCCTCTCAGGCGGGACTGCTTCAGTTGTTTCTGCATAGCTGCAAAGTAGTGTTGTCCAGCACAGGCGGGCTGCGAGTTGACTGAGAGGAGGAGACCAGACGGTACAGGGAAAACTGTGGGCCACTTGAAGGCCAATGCAGTGCTGCCGCCCGGTGGACTATTTGCCAACCGTGGACTACTGACTTGCATGGGAAGCATGTGAACCCTGCAAGAGCGAGTCTATAGACGAGGCAATCCGTCACGCCAGAGTTACCAAGTTGGGCTGATGACTGCGGTGTGGACGGACAGACTTAGCTGTCTGTACCAGATTGCCGCATTGGCCGTTACTGCTGTGCTCAAGGTGACAAGCAGCTAAATTTAGATAAAGTTGGGTTTTGAGACAACCCGTATGCCTTATATAAGAGCTGTACTCACCCCAATTCGTTTAAGGCGATAAAGGACCAGTAGTGAAATTCAATAGAAACTTGAGACCTTCTCATACGATTGTGATACAATTCAACTACAACTCCTACCTCCTCCTAAATGAAACTTCAATTATACGACTACTGGAAGCCCTGAAAGCCTACTTGTAAACGAAAAATCAATCCCACTATAAAATGTGATAT